ATTCTTTGTAGGTAATATGACCACCCCTCCTCCCCCCAAAAATGTATTGTGTGTCTAGCTTTCATAAAAATAATACTCAGAGCTAACATTTGGATAGCACTTTAAGGTTTACAAGGTGCTGTACATATGTTACTCACCTAATCATCACAACAAACCTTTCAATCTGATCCTACCTTATGACATTAAAATGTAACCCTATTTTAGAAACTGAGGCAGATGGCTGTTAAGTGACTTGCCCAAGGTCACACAACTAGTAACAGTCTGAGGCAAGATTTGAATTCAGATCTTCTTGACCCAACACTGTCCACTGAGCACCCTAGCTTCTTCTATGCTTTCATTACATGGAGGAAGAAAGGAAACAAGGACTTCTTTTAGTGTGTACTATATTGCCAAGCACTGTGCTTGGCTTTAAAATTGTGCTTTAAAATTCTCATTCTATCTTCACAACAACCTGGGAGATAGTGCTATTATGGTCTCCATTTTACAGTTGAGGAAATTGAGACAAACAGGGTTTAGTGACTTGCCCAAGGTCACACAGCTAGTAAGTGTCTGAGGCCAGATCTGAACTCAGGACGATGAGTCTTCCCAACTCTAGGTCAGGTGCTCTATCCCACCATGCCACCGAGCTGCCCCAAGGGCTTAATAAGTTCTGGTTAATTGGTTGATTTGGAAATCAAGAAATGGCAGAAAGTAGAACCAAGCCAGTTATAATAATGTGAGTTTCTACGGCACTTGTGAAGTCTGCCAAACGTCCCCATCACCACAACCCAGGAATCGGGTAGCCTGAGACCATTTGAGGCCCAACCCTTCAGATTCTCGAGGATAGTCACCATGTTCACACCCTTCCCCCAAGTCTTCTCTTCTCTCTCAATTCAGGAATATGCGAGTTCAAATCTGGCCTCAGACACTTACTAGTTGTGTGACCCTTGGCGAGTCACTGGACCTCTGCTGCCTCGTTTTATTTTCTATTAAATGGGGATCGTAACAGCATTACTTCACAGGGGTGGGCTCCAGGCCCTTCCCCTGCTCACCGCCCTCACTTGGACGCTCTGCAGCTGGCCAGTGGCCTTCCTAAATGAGTTGCCTGCAACTTTTCTGAGGTCCAAGGGGCAGCAGGGGTGAGAGTTGGACTTTAAACCCAGTATTTCTGACTCCAAACCAGGCCACATGTACCCACCCCCCTGGTCTAAAAGGAAAATGGGAAAGTATTCTAATCCACCTGCTTTTTGGACATAACTGCCATACACACACACCACACACACACACACACACACACACACACACACACACACACACACAC